TACCTACATCGAAACGAGGGACCGACCGGCAAGAAGAAGCGCCGCGCTTTCTCTCTTTCTCTCTCTCTCTCTCTCTCTCTTGTTTTTCTTTGTCTATCTCTTCTTCGCCTTCCGAAAACACCGCGATACTTCCACTTCACGAAGCGAACGGTCGCAGCGCGCGAATCGGGTTTCACGATTAAATACTGTTTTAAAAAGACTTCTAATTTCCAAAGATTACCGCATGAGAACACTATAAAATTTGTTTTTATAATCAGCATATTTATTATACAAAATTGCATGTATAACATAGTAGGCATACAGATCGATAAAAAGTATCTTTTACAATTCTTTGGAAACTTGAATTATCTCGTAATGAGAGAGCTTCGATGTACCGAGTAAGATCTGCTTCAGACGGATATTAATAAAACCTAGTATGAAAGCCGCATGACCGGACTGGAACATAGCCAGACGAAATGAATCGTCGAAAACCTATCGTCATTCACGTCAACGGTACAGATGTTGGGTGCGGCGATCAAACACGCGACATCTCCGTCGTCTCGTGATTGTGAACCGTTATAAGCTCGCAGAAGATCGATCGATCTGTAATAGGATCGTCCGAGTATGCTGTTGCGATCGTCATGAATCGATTGAAACAGCATATCGTATCTTAGAAAGAAAATTTCGCGACGTAGAATATTAAAGCAATTTTATTTTTTATTATGACCTATTGTTGGTGTAAATTTGATTCATCAATATTGCATAAATGTTAGTCTGCAGATTATCTTATTTTTATAAATTTACATAATTGCATTCTTATGTACATTTATATAATTGCAATATTTATTTATTGTACGCAATACTAGATATTTTCAATTCGCTAGTTTATATGCAAATAGGTTCAATTTCCTCATGCTGCAAGAAATGTTACCTTGACTAAACATTTTTTAAATGACGCACGAGCGAATCGAAGCTTCTCAATGAATGATCGTGATGCTCGTCGCTCAAGGAGACTGTGTAGTAGCGCAATTATGCACTCAGCAGACTCTTACTCGGCAGAAAAAGATGACGAATGCATCAGCTTACGCGAAACAATCCGCTTGCGCAGGCAGTAGATATAAATTTCAAATTTCGCCGCACCGCTGGGATTTTTGCCGGAATTTCGTTGACTTAATTTCATATCCAATTAGATTGTATCGGATTACATCCGCGTGCAAAAACCCCGTCCATCCGCCTGCAATTGTCCCTCTCTTCGAATATGCATTCAACAATTTAGTATCGAAAGGCAATTTGCGTCTTATTTAAATTGAAAGCACTATCTATACCAAATATTAATATTATATAACAAGTATTAAACATACGATTGCATTTCAGTGACATAGAAGTGCGTTTAACTTTTTAATTTTGTGGTTTGTACGTTGTAAAAAGTTACCGTTTCCGAACCCGAAGATAACTAACGCGTATGATTCCTCCGAAAACGATTTTATCGATATTATTTTCATAATCAGTGCATCATACATTTTATGCATGCGAATATATGTTAATTATAATATTTCTCAGGTGCATAAGGAGGCATAATCTTTTTGCGTTACACATCAGAACCTTCTTGGGAACAGAACAATTACGCTTTGTCAGTGCTTAAATTATAGATTGCGTTGGCTGACGGATCTCAAACATGAAAAGTCTAAGGAATCTCGCCGGTCATGCTATCCGCGCTGTTTCTCTCCGTATTGTGAATTAAATGCACATTAACCCTAGAGTTGCGTAGCGCGGCGATTACGATCAGGTGGAGTCGCGCTAATTAAAGCCCTGCTAGACGCAGTCGTGCGTTAAATAATTTGTATGTATATTTAAGCAAATAACAATCGTCTGCACAACATTTTGTACGGCCGATCTCTCACGCCTATTTCCTCCAAAGAACGTATCCTCAAATTATTTTGTAAGACCCGCGGTCGAAATCCGGAAACGCGCATGGACTTTCTGAATTAAAAATACATTAATTATAGCAAAAGTATTGTAAAACAATCTTTTGTTTTAATTCAAATGGTCGGTCAAATTAGTTCGCGTCGGAGGTCGACTTTCGTCTCTTTGCGGGGTTATCGATTAACCAGGCAAGGCGATGAAAGAGTTCGATGAAATAATGATGGTACCAGGTCGATAAATAGTACGCCTCCTGCGCCCTTCTCTCAAGGGGATGGAGGGGGAGGGGGGCCATGGGGCCCTTCGGGGCCCGCGCTAATGCCAGCCGAGAGAAGACAGCTATCAAAAGCCCGTATTTAAATATTATCAATGAAATTACAGTGCTCACTGCTTGCACAGCCAGCTCGGTCATTACCGACTGGCAATTCGGCCTCTTTAATCGCCGTTGTCAATACTAATCGACATCGTCGTTATTTAATATGCTCCGTCCCATTTTTCTTTTACGGATCCGCCGAACCACCCGTTGCTCTTTCCTACAGTTCCTTGGGAACAGTCCAACTTCGAGCGAAACAGATAGATTGACCGGCAATTACGTGATTCATCCTTACGTTCAATACCGTTACAAATAATTTAGATTATTAATCTTAACAAATATATACGTAATCGCGTATTTCAAATTTCAATGTAAGAAAATTTATTCTTTACGTTGCGTTATTCTGCTAACGTTTTATAATTTATTATGTATATATATTAATTATATATATTAATATATATATGTATATATTAATATATTATGTATATATTCATCTACTTCTAATTAATAAATTTACATAAATAAAGCATTTCCCCGCATTGTGTCAGCTGGCCGGAAAAACGCTGACCGTATTATATAACAGAAATACATAACGGGGATGATGACTGCCGTATCGTTACGTATATTTTCCGAGTTTCCAAATCCATTCGTTCGCTGGATGCGCGCATAATAATTGTGAGCTTGCAATTAGTAACCGGTACGGCAAATAGTATCGGTGTTGCTATCTGCATTAAGTGCCATTACCATACCGGCGAACGGAGCAGCGATAGAAAGGAGTGGGAATAATTAAACCACTATGATCGCTATCTAAATAATTAGGACTTGGCGTGACTCTCTGCGTGCCGCTGTGTGTAACGCTCGTACGCGAACAGTCAGATCGTAGATTTCGCGAAGCGCAGGCATAATTAGGCGAGAGATATGAACGCGAAATCCGCGTATTTAAATCGCATTGTTGCGAGGAGGCAACCTGTGATGTCCGAGTCGCGCTCAAGCGGACCGAGTCTCGTCTAAAGATGCACCAAACTTACGCTATATATCGAGGATATGTCGATTAGTTACTTTAGAATAATCACTTTTTGAAAGTTTATTCATCAATCTTAAACATATTTAAAAAAGCAGCGATACTCGGCATATTACTTTGCATTTTGCACTACATCGACTACAAGATATGCAGTTTTATGAAATGAAACTGCACTGAGTCACTTACATATATGCTTGGCATTTTTCAATAGTATCTCGCACGCAGTAACGTTTATATATCAATGGATTTCAAAATAAATTTAGAATACATTTGTATGATCTTGCTTTATGCATTTTACGTTGTTTCTTCGAAATGTCTATTGACAGTATGATTTAAATGATGAAAATGCTTTCTTTTTGCTTGCTTTCTGCCGCGTCGAAATAGAGAAACGGGGTCAGAAGGCAGATACGTGTCGGCACTGTCAAAGAGTTTAGCCGCAAGACACGCGAATCAGAGATGCGATCTGATAAGAAGCGGAGAATCTCGGTGTACCGCGTACGAGCCCCTGCTGTGTCCACGCACCTTAAAGCACCATTCTCACGTGCGGCGACATAAGCAGGATCCACGTGCTCGAGATATTCTCTCTCGAAACCACTAAAAACGCTACATTAGTATTCTAAATAATTACACGTGGTACATACAATAATTATCTGATTTACATTAAGTTATTGACTTTTATCTTAATAAATAGCTCGTTTAAACAATTGAAAATTACAGTTAAAATAAAATTGTTTATATATAATTAATTTTGAATATTATTAAAGGTACTTGTCTATTAAGAAAGTAATAGAGATGAACTGATCGTGCAGCTGGAAAATTTGTGTTAAATTTAACACATTTTATGTGTCCCAAAAACGGTCCACTTAATTTTTTATGTTTAATTTAACATAAGATGAATATGTTAGAAAGTAACACTCGAATATGTTAACAATTCAACAACACACAATTTAAACAAGGACTTGAGTGGTCCGTTTCTAACACAAATGCAAAATGTTTTTTATCGTGTGCGATATCGTATGATTTATTTTGCCTGCCTGACAACGTAGGTTTTGAGATCAAGACGAAGAGGCAATTAATTTTTAGATGCCGTCGATAAAGCCTACTTTCTTCATGTAGAAGTTACGTAAACGATTATACTGGATGTCTAAGCAACATAAACCGCCGTTATAACGAAACGTGAGTGTATGCCTTCGAAGTAAATAATTATTTCCAAAGGACTGCGTTACGTCTTCGAAAGTTGCATTAATTTTGCTGCACCGTTCGATGATCCCGGCGGTCACGTTCGAGCAATATCGAATAAAGACTGTGATTATATACGATAGTTGATGACGAACCTAAGCCGGCCTATCCCGCGCGAGTCGGCAGCTCCGAGCTGGAAACCAATCCGTATCGGTCCAGTCTGGGATTAATCGGTGTTTTGTTCTGCGGCGAAGTGCTTATTAAGGCTATGCCTTATTAAGCTTCACGGACATGCAAACGCGGATGGGATCTCTGATGGTAGATTTGATCACGAATGAAATGGCGACCGGCCATTGTATCGAGCCGAGGAAACGAGTTTTATTACAAGCAATCGCGACCGTCAATAATTAAATTAATCGCGCGGACAGTATCTAGACTTTAAAATTGTACCGTGAAATGCACGATATGTTTTTCCGACTTATTTTTATTCCCGACGTATTTTTACTTCAATATCCGCGTTATTATTCAACACGTTCAACATGTTCTCGGTACAGTAGAAAAATTAAAAATTTACAAGATGTACAGTATTTTTTTACTCGTATATGTATATGTATTACAATACAATATTATACGTTCAATAATGCGCCAGTTCTATTGATGTATTCTTATCAGACTTTTCGATAATTTCGATTAAAAGAATAAAATTTAAGAAGTATTCAATTTCAACGGATTGTCGTTGAACAATTTCGTGCATCTGTGCGCCTTTAGTTGATATCTCTCGCCATACTGACGTCCGCAGATATTACATTTGTAAGGTTTCTCGCCGGTGTGCGTATAAATATGATTTGCAAGTTTCGTCTTCACGCTGAAGCGCATCTTGCACAAGTCGCATTCGAATTGCTTTATGCCGGTATGCCGATATCTGTGCACCTTCAAACCCCAAGATCTTCTGTATCTCTTGCCGCAATCTTCACATTTATAGGGCCTGATACCTGCAAATCGAAGTAAAAGTTATTAATGTTTTTCTATTTTTCAAAATTCGAAAAAAAAACACAAGTTTAAAATATTTCAACTCTTATAACATAGCGCAAGAATTTGATTTAAAAATTAGACTTATATATTATATATATATCAAATTTTTAAGGATAACATGTTTGATCTCAAATGCTAATCTTCTTCGGTTTCTTAATCATTTCCTTTTAACATTTTGCAAGTTAAAATCTCGACATTGTAGAAAGAAAGAAAAATTCTTATATAATGTTCAACATTTTTACGTAATGTAGAATATATTATTCAATATTGCATATATATGGCCATGTATAAATCATTCACTGACTAACAATTATCAACTTGTCTGTATGCAAAGTAATTACAAACGCACAATATTAATAACCGCGATAACTTCGAAGCCGCGAAAGAATGAACTTTTTAAGTAGCGAGTTGATTCGCGGCGAAGAGAGGAGTTCGCTTCCATACGTTCACCCCGGTTAGACAGAGGTTAATTAAAAGTCCGGAATAATACATTTCCGCCGCGCGTGGAACGCCCAGGTCGCGCGAGAAGCGCGTAACGTATGCGTACGTTAAGTACATTGAAAAATACGTTTATGCATGATCGTTTGTACGTGTTGTGAACCGAGCTTCCGATTATCTCGAAAAATTCTTTTGTCCGCGGCGATACGTTTCGCAGAGTAAACGCTTCGTTGGATTTATATATGAGAAGTTAATGGTCTTGCGGCCTCGCCGCGCGCGATAAGGGAAAGGGGGAAAAGGTAACAGAGATATAAATAGCGCGATCTCTCCCGTGTACGGCAGAACGGTCTAATCAGGCGGCAGACACCTTCGGCTTCCTCCGCCAGGTGCAAAGAAGTTGTGAGAATATTCACAAGCTCACCGTAATGCGCCAGTATGTGGTGTTTCAGTGCGCCTTTCAGGTGGAAACGATGCTTGCAGATGTCGCACTCGAATCTTCTCACGCCCGTGTGCGTCAGCTTGTGCGTCTTCAGCACCGACGATCTCTTGAACTTCGCCGGGCAGAGATCGCATGCGAACGGCGAGTCCGCGGTGTGGACGATCATATGCGTCCGGAGGCTACTGGGCCTCAGGAAGCTCTTGCCGCAGGTCGTGCATTCGTGGGGCCTGACGTTAATGTGCATTAACTTATGATCGCGCAGCGATTGATGGCGCGCCAATTTCTTCTTGCAGATAGGACACTCGAACGTTCTTCTGCCGAGGTGTGCTTCAGTTTCGTGTTTCTTCAACGCGTGTTTCGTCTGTAATAAAGTCACAACATCCAATTACTAATTGCTCGGATAAGTAAACAGTTTTTCAAGTGAAAATTATAAAATGTTTAAAAAATGTCCAAAGGACATCCTGATCTTTTTCACGTATTCTTTAGATTTGTTAAACGTTTTTTAAACTTTTATGTTATTTAATAGATTTTTTGATAGATTATTCGACAGATTAGATAGATGGATTGTACTTTCGCATGCAACAGAGTACTTCGCTAAGCATTCATTAGTCGGAATACAAAGTAAGCGCGCCAGTTTGTGCAGCAAAGAGTTCGAAGAGATCTGATATTAAGATCATTACATCTACGAATGGTTATTAGCATTAACTACCTGAAATTGGAGCTCGCATTGTCTGCACGCGAAAGGCTTCGGAATAAAATGCATATGCAGGTGATTCTTTAAGGTTGACGATCTTGATGGAAATGGTAATTGCATTATTAGTATCAAGTACTATAGAGCGATGAAGGCCATTTTAAGCCAGTAAAAGAAACAATAATATTGAGGAATACGTTTTGAATAGTCGTAGTAATAATAGTATATTTTTATTTTGAATAAATTTCTATGAAAAGGGACATTACAAATTACAAATTGGGGTCGAATCTAATTCTAATTTATTTAAAATTAATTATATGTAAATATTTTATTGTTACAATGCAATTATTTTTTCGCATAAACGATGCAAAGTTAAAATAAGTTTTTCTATTATTTGGGTACACTCCGTCCATACCTGGAGAATCGCTTCCAGCAAAATCCGCACTGGAAAAGTTTTCCATGGCTTTGTCCAATCATGTGAGTCTTGAACTCGACCTCGTTCGGAAATTCGATCCTGCAGACGTTGCACATTAAAAGCTTCCCTCTTGTCAGTGCCACGATGTATTCCTTTAAGTCGGTGTACTCGTCCATTTGTCTCTGAGAAAGTGAAACGCTTGCATTTCTTTGACAGTCCGATTCTGGGGTGTGTTCAGAATTTTCATGGCGCGATACTTCTTCCGATACGTTCTTGACGTCCTGTTCGATATCCAGTTCGTCGTTGGACGAAAAATTTTCGATCTCATCCAGGATCTCGGTCTTTATTTTAATCTTTAAAACAGAAAACAGTGACAATGTAATACACCAAATAATTTGCATACAAAATTGTAATATATAAGTAATATTTTATCTAAACTGTTCTTTTATACCTTATATTAATATAGAAGGTAAAATATTTTGTATCTATATTTTTTCAAGCTTGAGTGTATTTTCGCGTATTTAATTTATTATGACAATTATAAATTTTATTATTCTATCTATTGTAAAAATAACATACAAAAGCGATGATCGCATTTGGCATTAAATGAAGTTTGAAATAAAAATAAGAAAACGGATTTTGAAATGTCATAATACTCATAACCTAAGGACAAATACGGACTAGAAGGCATACTTCGCGACAATTCTTGCAAGGTTTGTTGCTCCCGATAATCTCCAGATCTTTTGTGTCGAATATCACTTGATTTTGTCGAGAATGATCGCTGATAGCGAAACTCCTACCCTCCATAGTTTTTACGGAGTATATGCGTCTCTAAGAAGATCGCAAAAACTTCCAAGGAAAATGTTGCGTAAAACATAACACAAAACTGATGAAACAATCGAACAGCGAATACATGCATTTCTTTGGAGTCTAGATTTTGGAAACATCGTTCTAAAGTAGACTAAAATAATATTTTCAACATACTTTTAAGAAGTGTTTCTACGAAATATCTGAATGTGCTTCTCTGTAGTTTTTATTTTAAAAATAAATTTTAATTATTTTCTTGGGTAGTTATTAATAAGATCTGTGAAAACAATGAACTTAAATATACATTTATAATTTTTGTAGATGTTTCAGCTTTATTTATTATCTCTATTTTTATTCTAAAATAATGTTATTGAACCCAGAGTCTTGATAATTGCCTCCGTGAGCATACAAATGCGCCGAAATGTTCGCAAGGTTGCTTGAGAAACGTCTCGAGAGGAACACGGAGAGGAAATATATACCGCGCGGCGAGTTTATCACTTTATCCTAATTGGCCGGTTTCGGCACTAATTTATTCGTATTATTAATCCAATTACGCGAAGAGATCCAATTATGAAATCAGTACGCCATTAAGTTATCTATTCCTTCTTTCCAGATGTAACCATGTTAAGACCTCACGCGGATTAATTACAAAAGTTGTTAGAGAATTTGCCATGATATTTTATTACCTCGTGAATAATGAGTGTAATTGCAGCGAAGCGTAATTTATATTGCAGTCAAAGTAAATATGTATAAGTCGAATGAGGTAATCATGGGGGTATATCGTTACTTTTGACTTAACGAATGGCCGGGAAGATGCGAAGATATATTCGCGTACCTGTACCGTAGCATTCGGTATCAAACATCGTGAGATTATCGACAGTCCGGTTAGTTATATGGAATTTTATTTTAATACTTGTGGAATGACATGCCGAATTTCTAATTAAGATAGGAAATACAGTGGGAAGATAAAAGGTATGGAATATTAAGATTTGTTACAATACACGAGATAGTAGAATATTCTTAATTGTATCCGTACCGAGAAAGCACATATGAAGACGAGCAGCATTGACTGATTCCAAGTCTTATTCAGCGTAATTAGTGGCTATTGCCGGTTGCTGTCCGTTTGCATAAAATAGTGCAATTGAATGAAATTAGAGGAAACGAGTTGCGCGTATTCCATTTACTCGGAAAACCTGAGGAGGAAGTATCGCGCTCCGAATAATTCTTGCAGGCATAGGAAGTAGCTTATTTATGATCCCTCCGCCTACTACTGCTTATATGCGTTTTTATCTGCCCCGCAACTAAATAATTAGATTTTAAATGAAGCCCTGATTATTTTTATACATTTTAAATGGAGTGTGCAGTTCTAACCATTTCAAATTGATCACGATTATACACACATATACCTATGTTACGATTAAGCGCTGTTGTAAATTAATTAATCCTATAGTATATTTTTGTAAGAAAGATAATGTTAAATAATATTAGTTCCACGTTTTAATTCTATTAAAATTATAAGAAATAAAGAACATAAAAAAGTGATAATAAAATGTAGAATTATCAAGGACCAATTATATCGATTAGAAATATCGTGATTTATAATATTAAAATTAATTATACGCTAACATTCCACATTTTATATCTCAATGTAAAATTTAGATTTCTAAGATTTTTGAGATTTGATGAGAGAGAGAGAGAGAGAGAGAGAGAGAGAGAGATTTTTTTTTTTATTAGACTATCTAGCTGTAATAAAAAAATAAAAAATTTCAATCTATCGGATTACTAACTTTAAAGAAGATAAGAAATATAGTCTTTTGAAAAAAAACATTTTAGTTTTAAATGAAAATACTATTTTACATTTATCAAGCATATACGATAAACATGGATAGAAACTAGCTGCTAAGCTTCGTGATCTGTATCAAACTGGGTGTCAAGAACGAAAGTAGATTCGTGCAGACTGCTCACTTTCGTCCTCGGTTATTTTCCCTCTCGATCTCGCCATCGTTCTCGTTGTCGCGGTCGCAAGCGAGAAATTCAGTGGAAAATCCTCTCGAGCGGTCAGACGTAGTCTCGCGCGCGCTATCGACGCCTTTAGAAGCTCAGCATTATTAGACTCGGGCGTGCGAAACGTATTCAACATCACGAGATGGGCAATCAGAAACTACAAATTCCTACAAATATGACTATGACACGGTGTGTCATGGAGTCACAACGATTTCGTCACTACGCAGGAAATTATTGTCACTAATTATAAGCTAAATTACAAGAAAAACTGAGAGAAATATCATTTCAATGTCGTTTCTTTCAATGTTGAGTCATTAAAAAGAATGATAGAAAGAAATTTAGAATTAATTGAACATTATATGTGTATATGTATAAAAAATAGTCAGAGCGGATATAAGCAATGAGTAAAATGCAGCTAATCCGCAACAGCTTGTTCTGTCACATTTTTCTGCGGAATAAGTCGTTTTCTTCGTCGATACTCAGTTCCCGTCGTATCTTACGAACAATCCGTTCCACCGCGGACATTTCTCCGGCGCGTATTACGAATCGTTGTATTATTAAAGTGGCCTGCTTTTCCGCGGCTTTCCCACGGCGGTCTCCTGCCGTTTAACTTCTCGACTTCGCGACTTTGCATCTCCACGTGCCTTGCCTAACGACGACGACATCGCGCACGCGTCGCAAAAAGCGTCGATACTCCTCCCATGAACGGTCCCCGTCGATCGTGCAAATAAATCCGCGACGGCACATGATGTGCGCTCGCTCACGGGCTGATGCATTATTTCATGGAACTGCGGTAAGACCTGTGCGACTGAACTCGCCGCGACGGTGAGACGAGAAGAACGAGAGAGAGAGAGAGAGAGAGAGACTGAGACGGGGCGCACGAGCGAGCGGGCGCGTGTGGGAAACTCGTCGGATGCATTATGTATTTATCGCTTTACTTACTTAGTTGGGAATTACTTTGCCATCGTAATGACTTTCGTATAGCGCGCTATCTTAGGAATGCCATACCCCTGATTTATCGCCCCGGACCCGTTTTTCTGTGACCATTTTGTCGCTAACGTCGCTACCTGCTTCGACGGGCGACCGTCATCGACAACGGGCTTGACTCGCGTCGCGAGTCCGTTGACCTTCCTGGATCCCGAATTGCAGTAATCGGAGTGTAAGTTGAGAGGAAAGGTTTCTTCGTACGAGAGAACTGTTGCCTCCGACCCGAAGAAAAAGATTGGCTTAATTTTTGAAATTCTACTTAAACTTGCTTATTTTCTAGTGCAGAGTACAGAGTGTTGCCTTAAATCCGTCAAATTTAACAACGAGAATTCACGGGGATGTATCGAAATCGTTTATTTGAAAAAGTGTTTACGTATATCTGATTTTTAACGAAATTAAAATAAAGTATACAGAGCTTCGCTGAAATAATTCAGTTTTTATTAGATGTAGGAATTAGTATTACTATTGCTTCAACATTTATACGTGAATAATTTTGGGATTGTAACGACAAGAAATTGAAAATGACATCTAGCGTCTTTATTTTGAGAATAATAAAGAATTCTATAATGGAATAGATAACTTATTTGGTAATAAATTATATGTTGTATATATCTATATATTGTTCACATATTAAATTAACTTTGCCAGAGTTCAATCACTTATTCGCGATGGGTAACGCCTGTGTACAGGATCGCGCGCCGAGTTGCCGTGCGGATAATATCGGGAAATTGAATACGCGGCACGTATCTAGCATTAATGAACTAATTATGGCGAGGATATATCCAGACGGTGTCTGAGAGCGGCGTCTTCAGCGAGACGCCGATATCGTCGACGCCAAAGAAATCGTATTTATTTTTTCATGCAATCATTTCGCTAATTGCCTCTCGCGCTATGCCCGCGTGCATGAGAAGACGCAATAAATATTCGTGATTAATTAAGAATCCGAGATATGCGGGCGTTTCATAAGAGAGAGAAAAGGAGAGAGGGGGGGGGGAGAAAGAAAAAAGAGAATGCGCTTATGGGTTCTCCTAATTGGACGCATCGTACTGCCGTTTTGCGCCTCGGACAATCTTTCTTGACATTTAAGGGATTTCGTTATTGTAACATCGCATATGCTGTAAAAGTACAGCATGTGTGACACGTATTTCTTCTTATTCGTGTTTGAAAGCAATTATCTGTTTATTTAATAAATTTAATCCATTAATTTTTTTCTGTTTCCACAAGTTGCTTTTTAATCTTTCCTGATATTCAATCTGAGAATGATATAAATATATATGGCGTATGTGATATTAAAAAAACATCATAATTAAGAAAATGAAAAATATTAATTTCTTCATTCGTTACGCTCATATATATCCAAATGAATTTCTACTGTAATCGAAATATTCGTTGCCTAATGAGACAACTATATCCAAAATTACGTAAAAGCGGATGTTATATAAGAACAATGTAATTAAGTAAGTCGAAAGGAACATTTAATTAGCTTTGCACTTTGAAGTTCGTATTTCATCATTCACTTCAATATAAGCGAAGATAAAACGAGATGGTAATCATAATCGACGAAGAATTAAGAACGTATATTAAGTATCGTAAAAAATATAAATACAAGACAATTTGCTTTGTCGATATTGTCTTATCTGATATTATTTTTTATGTGTGACCGATGATAGCATATTAAAAAAATGTTGAAAAGCGCTATCGTTTCTCTTATCCGATTACTGAAATTGAATAAACAACATGAGTAACACACATTAAAATCGAATAAATTCTCACACATCTCTATTATATACTCATAGATATTTGCGTATTTCTCTAACTTTATTGAATGACGAATCGTTTTATCAGTATTATCGATAAATCTAGATAATTCTGTTAATAACTTGTTAGAATTCCTTTTTAATCTACGCCCGTAGCTGCATTATATCATACTCGTTTATCAATCGTAGATGTACCTTGCTTCTTGAAAACAAATTATAAATATTTTTTGCTAAAAAGTAGAAAAATACAATTGCATATTTTAATTCGAAAGTGTAGATTATATAAAAGCAATCCCGAATGTCAGAATACTTATATATTAAATTAAAACATTCTAATTAATGTAAACGTTAAGCTTTAATTTTTTTCTTAATAAAAATTATTTATTTTCTCTCTTTCTTTTTCTCTTTCTCTCCTGCTCTATTAAAATTTATCTGATAAAACTGTCTGCAAGGAGAATTACAAATGTTTATCGTGCCGTTGAAATGCACGAATCATTTTGTATGATGAAAAGCGCAACGTATCTTCCGGGAAAGATGGTTTACTCGATACGCAGATACGTAGAAAAAGACACGGCCCGGCGAGAAGATCCGGACGCGGGATTTCCCTGATGGCATCGCATCGATAAATCAACTCTCGTGCGCGATTCGTCGCTTATAACGACACAATGAGAGCCGAGAAAACTGTTCCGCGCCATGACAGGGTATGTCATTACTGCATTACTTATAAAGCTTCCTTCGCGACGACGCGCGCCGCATACGAATGAAACTGCATCGCGATCCGCGCGCGGCGGCTATTACAAAAACCTATGGAAAAAGCGACCTACCCGGCACGTCACGTATGCAAGGATACGACCGCGAGAGTCCGGCCGCTGCGGCTCTTAATCGAGCATTAATATGCACGTTGAATATTGATCGATCGATCCGTGGAAAATGCGTTTCTTTTGCGCCTGGAATTCGGTTTCATCATCGAGAACATTGCGGATGTTTTCGAAGAAAACAGATCATGTCAATTATAGTCACATGGATTTAATCGAAACTGCTGCTATTCTCATAAACTATTCAGTGACAAATCATGATTCAACTATGCCAGCTGTTGAAGAAATTTCAAACGTGAACCTATCCAAGTCAAGATATTTTTCATCATAATCTAACAAGAATTTCAACGAAATTTCAAAGTTCTAAGTAATCCCGAAATGAAAAAGTACGTCTTTATCTCGCCAAGTTGCTTGTTCAAGGATATTGTTTTGCGTAAGAATTGCAAGTCGAGATTAGCGGAGACCCCATCCTTCCGCGTATTCTTTCGTCGAGCGATGTCTCGAGGATGTGTCGAGAAATCCCGACGAAATGGCGATGTCGTCGTCGCCCCGGCCGACACCTATCCCATAAATAATCTCGACATCGAAATTCATTTGACGGATCCATCGATCGGCGATGAGTTTTTCCCCCACCTGCCTCTCTGTTCCCCCTGTCCGAGGCGCATTCAACGCCGTTCGACGATTGGTAGTGTGTCGATGTTGTACACGGCGAGTATAGCTGTCGTCGCGGTAGCATCCCGTCGGACAGGTTATAGACGCCCTTCGACGCCCGGCAAACACGCCATTTCTTCAAGCGAGGGCCGAGGAGCCGCGCCGATCCCATCCGTAATGCTCGCATGTCCGCGAACTCGAACCAGCGCGGGCACCCGGCCGGCGTTTCAAGCCAAGAGGAGGAAACGAGTCGGCGTCCCGCGGTGGTCGAAGACGGGTTAAACGGGCCATCATACCATTGTTTCCGCCGCCAAACACGTATAACATCCGGACCTACCGAAATCCTTCGACCACCCACTCTCCTCACAACTCGAGGTCACCACCGCCTCGAGAAACAAAACCGTCCGGAAAAATATGAGTTCTCGTGTACTGGCGAGCAATATCCACTTGACAGATATACACGGGATGCTATGGAAATATCAGAGAGAGAGAGAGAGAGAGAGAGAGATCGATAATCTACTTTATTTCGGATCAAGACAGTGGTAATTTTTTTTACTAATATAAATGTCTGATAATGAAAAACATTTTGCGACAAATTGATTTTCTTGTATATTAAAATGGACAAAGGATTTATTTCCAATTCTGAAAAAAGTCTGGAAGATTATCAAGATATTTAATCAAGAATTAAAAAAAAGTGCAATTCAAGAAAACAAAAGAATACTGAACTTTGGAACACTCTGCATGAATATATGTAAGAGTGATCTCGACAGATATCAAATCTCGCTGGACGTTTACGACTGAAAAAGACCAGTCGTATAGATGTATTTCTGGATCGATAAATTTTTTAATAATACCCTGAACTTTAGGACATATACGCATACAATATAAATTACTTGTGCAGCGTCGTTTGAAGAAGAACAAACAGCGAAGAAAAATTAAAACAAAGCACTGCTTAAGTTGAGAGATGTATCAGATGCATCTATATTTATTGTGCATCTATAATTACTGTCACAATATTAGCGTAATACATATGTAATTGTGTTGTAATCATTATTCCAAATGATATCTTTCTTCTTTTTTTGAAAATTGTTTTATAATTAATAATAATCGTGAAAAAAGAGAATAGCTCTATTATTATTCACGATTATGATTGCAATTTTTTACGTACAGCATAAAAAGCATTATGGAAAATTTGTTTTGCAAAGAGATAAAAAAATGATAAGCAAATGAATTTTGAAAAATGTTTCGATAATGAATGTGCTTATCCAGTACTTGCCTCTATTTATTAAGATTAATTTTTTATTTAATACAAATACAATCTAATCATTCTAACAATTGTAAATAGAAAATATTGCTGATAAGCGTATTCATTACTTTATGTTTTTGCAATTAATTAAATCAGATTGTTATCATTATGGATAAGATAATTATCAAAAAATATTAAGATTGCATTGCGACAGTAATTATTATCGTAATAAATACTGGATGATGCAAAACGATTGAGTATGTATCAACAAAGAGTATTTGAATCTTCGTGATACTTTTGTAGAATCTCTGCCGCAGGTTTCTTTTTATGCTTCGAAGTATTCATATATATTTTGCAAACTAGTCTTTTACTTTACGCCTATGCTTCAATTAGAAAAGTAGGACTCGTACTTTTTACATTCTATCACAAAAGAAAGGGATCGCATAGCTATAATTTTCTGATGCGTTCGTTAATTTGGATGCAGATGCCGATGCATCAAGCGATGTATATGCACGAAAAAAATGGAGCAAGGCCACTCTCACAAATCGCTCTCTGGCATGCACCATCTTACATATTTATGACAGCTTTAATGAGCGCCGTTACTAAATGCATACGAAGGAATCCGCGAGCAAACTGTTCGACGACATGAAACCAATCTGCGTTCACGCCGCAAAGATTCATCGCAGAAAAACATGTCACAACGTATTATTCGTCCACGTCGAGATACATATTTCCTCGTAGAGTGTTTCGCTTAGAAATTTGTTATCTATTTTAAAAAATGGTAATATTTATAACTCGTTAAGCATTTTAAGAAGCTCGTCAAGCATTTTACGAAGAGAAAGCTTGTTTGATAATTAATATTAGAATGGAAGAAATGCTTATATTTTTTTGAAATCTAGTTTTCCTTGTTTAGTCATTTGGAATCGCTTCATATTCATTGTTTCACAGTAATTACCGGCGTACAAATTGCGCCACGAGAGATATCAGATTTCTACAAATAAAAATTGCAGACTTTCCGCTTTTCCGTGCCGATTGCTTTCACGCGTGGGTAATTTTTACTCCCCGCGGTAATGCAAATCTCAAACTTACTCCTCTCTCGCGTTTGTTCCTCTTCCACGCTTTCTATTACTTTCTATCGCGTCGAAGATCTTTCGCGCGCGCCGCCGCCGTCGCCGCCACCGCCGGTCGCTGCCGAACAGATATACCGGGGCGTTAAATAATTTCCGCGCGGGGACGGAAAGTACTTTAAGCCGGCGCTATCTGCGCGAGGTTGCGCCAACAAAAGGACGAGAGGAATCGTTCGGCAAGAAACCGATGAAGGGTTTATCTTAATCCACGGTTCACCGAGCAGACGAGCTCCTCGCCAATATCCCTGGGCCACCCCTTTCATCATTTATGCCCGCCCCCTCTCGCGCACGGTAACCGATCACACTTCGCTTGTCTTACTAGAGATTTTTTGTTATCTGGACCACTTATTATCGTGGCCGCGTTTGCAACGAGCCGGATTGTACAATCGCCGTTCTACCGGAAGCTTCCTATAATCGAAATGTTTTTATTTGAAATTCGATCGTTTTCTTTCCTTTTACCTACTTTCCGTGACGAGGTTGTAATACATTTCTATTGTATTCAAGCCATATTTATCACACTTCAAAGTGTTTCTCGAACTTGAACATATTATTCTTTTAACGTAATTTAACAGAAGCCCGAGAGAGATATTTTTAGGCAATTAAAGCAACATTGTCGACGCGGTAGCACCGATAACGGTGCTTCCGAGAGCTCGCAGAAAAAAAAAGAAACCTGCTTAAATGTTCTGTATCAGACCACTTCCGGAGACCTCCGATTCTGCATTCTGAGTAAAAACACTTAACGAAGTTATTGGACGTCTTCGGGCCGGCCGCAGGATACCGTTAACAAAAACGTGGAACGTCGGCGAGCGATCGAAGAAACGAGCGATGGCGGCTTGAAGTAGAACGAACCGGCCGGTTGGTCGATAGTCTCGCGCGATCGGTTGACGTTTTCCTGGAACGTTACCATTTCACACTCGCGGGTGGCAGGAGCGCCGCGACAAAAATCCAGGAGAGGGAAAGTCTGACGAATCGATTCGAAAGGATGTCATCATAGTCGAGGCTGTTGGATGGGGCGCAAACACCTGTAACACCGTGTTCACGGGCGTCACGTGCCCGGGTGTTGCCGTGACGAAAGTCCCGATGATCGTGCAAAAAGCCGGCACGGGATAAAAAGCCGATCGGGCTCGCGCTGTTCGGGAAGCCTGGGGGTTCCCCGCCGGTGAGCGCGCTATGAGAAACGTTAAAGCGAGAATTTGTCGTTAGATCGTGAGATTTGCGGTTAGATGATGCGCAATCCGATATAGTTCTTGCTTCGGTGATTCCTTAGTCAATCGTTTATCGCTTTTCTCACCGTCGCGTCGTAGCGTAAATCGATTACAGGTCGCGCGAAATTATTTTGTCGCGAAACAATATCGTTATGCCGTAAGAGGCTAGAATTACCGGGGTATATATTTAATTCTTCGCCCAGGCGGGAGCGGACCGACGACTTCATCTCGTGTAAGTGATTCGAAAAGTGTCCTCCCATCGGCTTGTTGCGCGACCAGGAGAACCTTCATGGTGTACACGTTAAGTTACGCTCGGACAAGCGTGCGCGTACTCGGGTTCTCTTGATCAGATACATAGTCAGCATGACTCCGCGATCCGCACCCTCGACCACCGACGGTGTCCCGCTGACTATTTATCTTGTTACATCGAAGTTGATCCGATTCTAACAGGAGATCAATGACGGCCGCCGACCGCCGCGGCTACCCGGCTTCTTGTTCCGCGCGACTCCTTGCGGAAATATAACGATGACACAAGAATCTTTGTCGTATGAATTGAAAAAGCAGCCGTACTATCTCGTATTTCCTGTAATGAGAAAGAATACGTTATTTAATTATACAATCTAAATGCCGCACGCAATACAAATATTAAACAAAGATAAATTACGTAATATCACTTGGCTTTCTCATTGTATTCCAACTTTATCGAGTGCTATTATATGGAGATAATTGAGTTAGATTTAATTGATTTGCGGAGTATTTAAAATTGTATTAAAAAATGCATCTCATTCAATTAACAAGTACTAGGATGTAATGCGATTGATCGAACAAATGCCAATGGCAATAAATCAATAATGCAGGACAACAAACTTTCCGCAATGGCCGCGGTATAACGTGCTAGTGGATACTTATAGGCGAAGTGACAGGCACATCCTGGGCCATGTGTTACCTATAATAATTTCGTATAGTCGCCCAACAAATATTTATTGCTACTTACCGGTCAGTGAATGTAAACGGGTCGAATCACCCTAATGGAGAACACCTAATTTCGCCCACGCGGTCGCGACTGAGTTGCTCCGTATGTCTGAGAAAATTAATTCGTCGGTTCATTCTCTGATAATAATGTCACCGGAGATATTGTGAGTCATCGCCATTCTGAAATATATATGAAAGATATAGTAATCACTCTTACGCAATCAATTTTTGTCATACTTCGCAAAAGTTCTTTGCAGTAGGAACGATAATGTTTGACGTAATAAATGTTTGTCTCTGTATTAAGTTTCTTCTCTATCCTACTGTTATCAGCTGTTCGATTTATTTGCAATTGCCATGGGCGAAGCATGATGTGTCGCATCGACTTCGATTATCGGCGAGATCACGAGACAATTTCCTTTGTGGTCTAGCTAATCAACCAACAGCGTCGAGGAAAAGTACACGGGTCAGGATAATATGGATAAACGAAAATGCGAGGGCGGATAGTAGCAAGAACCGGAACGCATGTCAGCTCGTCATCATCGCCGAAACGTCAGTAGGTGTTTGGCCAGGTCGCTAATGTAATATTGTTTGCAGGAGTATCGGATGTAGACAGCAAGTAACTCGGGAAAAATCGTTAAGAAAGTCTCTAAAGCTTACGGTCAGTAAGCTTGTATTTCTGATCTGCTTTCAAAAGGTATAAAAGTATTATAAAAAAGGACAATCTCACAGAAAACATTTTTTTAAATATAGAAATTATGTGTCTATAGAGATAGTTTTATGTATAACGTATCAATTTTTTTTTATCCGAAATTAGGACAGAAAAATTCGAAGAAAGGACAACTAGATAAATATCTACGGCAAATATAACGATAATATTTCAGTAATTATTGCGCGTGATACTTTGCGTCCACACTACCGAATGCCATAAAGTGCAACCCGGCGATGCAGCCGGCGAATTGCGTTTTCCGCACGGACGTTGCGTATATTCCCGCTGCGCTCATCGCTTCATCTAATTTACGCGGGTACAAATATGTTCCGATTAATCGCAGGCCAGTTACACACTGCACCGGCGCGAATTAACGTATCAGCTCGCGCTGTGGCCCGAGCGCAACATCGCTCGCGCTCTGCACCGGCCACGTTGCCAGGAACCGCCTCGCGTCGCGCCCCGCTGGAAGCATTGCGAATCAGGCGTAATACGTGGAAATCATAAATATAATCAACCAAGTGGGAGCGTGCACCAGGCATAAATTGCTCCGGCATTAACGAGATCCGAACGCGTGCAACGTTCCCTCGAGCATGCGTTTCCCCGATTCCAGAGAAAAGGAGCAACGGCTCGTTAGTCGCTATTCAGCGTGTGCTTATGTCAAACCTGTTTCTGTTCCTTCATTAATCCCTGGGTTCATTAAACGAGCCAACTTTGTTTTTGATATTAACGATTACACTTGTACATCACACGGTTATACTTGAGCCGAAATCATATCAAACGTACGATTACGTTATTCGGATATTACTTCGTCGTATGTAATCGCGATCATTAAAAACGGAAGGATACCATATTATTAAACGGCTAAGTTGTATTTCTCAAAAATAAATCGTGAAAAGACAGATACGAGATAATGTACACTTGTAATTTATAGTTGAGTAATATTTCTTTGACAAAACTATGTTGAAATAGAGAGAATTATAGACTAGAACCTTAATACTTTCGTATAACGTCGGATTGATAATGTATACAGTTATTTATGGAGGCATAGAAGCGTATCACTCTCGAAGGAAAATCGCTTCCTATAGCATATATTGTATGTTGGCTTTAATTATGATACTGACGCGCATGACAGACATTTTATTTCTCCTGACCCTCGACTATATTGCAGTATAACACGATATATATTTCCGTTCATAATACTCAGATGGTCTAGATAGCCGCTCAGAAATCATGATTCCGATGCGTCTAACCTGCACGCTCGTGTTGCGTGTTTCCGCGTGTTGATTTATGCCGTAAAATTGTAATTATGCAAATGTCGACGGATATAATCGAAACGAACAAAGTGTTTTCGTGCGTATATTTACATCGGAGACAGATCTGAGTCTGTCGTTTGGAGACCAATTCGGGGCCACATATAAATTTGCGTGTATAACAGCGATACTTACTGGAAAACTTTCGCGAATCGTACACCCCCGTCGATCGCGTTAAATCCGTGAACTGCAGCCGTTGATCAACATCGGCGACGGATTCCCGTCACGGCGCGATCGCGAGGTCGTTTCTTCTGTACGCCGGCCAGTTAATGGCTCCGTTTCTTTCCTATGCCGATCCGTCATTGACTTCCGAACGTGTCCGCGGCCAACCGTTTCGCGACGCCGTAACTCGTGCCAATCGACGGCAGATTTGCGTGACCGTGACGCAAAATGCACCACGGTGCCTCCCACTTCGTTCGATTTTTGCGGCGCGGCATTTTAATGTCTCCCCGCGGCGCACGGTGATTCAGCCATCGTTTCGTTCTTTGTAATTTATCGTCTCGCCGACCAGCCGCGTCCTTCCACGCCGTCATTCTCATAGTTCGCACGTGCTGCGGATAAAACCAAATGCTGCGTTAATCCATAAAGTAGCCTATAATTATATTCTATGAAAATAGCAAGAAACAGCCTATTGTATGACTTTTTTTTAAGCATCGATACTTCTCTTTGATAAATATTATATGGATTAATTATATTTAAATTGATATTTAAAAACAGTCGAAAGATTTTTCGCCATAGCTTAAAATTTATTAATACATTTATTAATAAAATTACGTCAGAAGAGAAATTATTGTGAGCATTAAACTATATATTTGCTAAATTAATAGCATAACTGTTGTGTATAAAAAAGATAATCGCGGGTTATTTAGGAAAAAGCGCGACTGAACGTAAAAACCGAAATCGCTTCGATCGAAGTCCATTGTCGATGGACCGTTAAAAATTAAATTACTACGTATTTTATAATCGTCCAGCGATTAATTACGATCTCCTAGATCAGGGACCGCCCACATCGAATCAACTATACTTAAATACAAAGCAGCAGTTACTTTCGAACCACTTCTATCATTCGTGTTTTTTATAATTTATGTGACAGTTCTATCTTGATAGAATCTGACAAATAGCATGCACATGGCAGGAATAATATTAAAATTTAGATCATCACACATGCATATTATTATACTTAAATTTCAATGATTAAATACGTCAAACAAGCATTAATATTAATAACAAAGGTAATTTATAAAAAGTAATTTATAAACCTTTTTATAAATTAAAATATATAAGAGAACTTCTTATTAATTGAAAATATGCTAAAATTATGTTTTAGATGTTAATATTATTAGTTAACACGTGTACAAAAGTAGTTAATTAACATTAGTTAACACATGTATGAAATTAGAAGTAATTATATAAGTGAATCTAGCTTTGCAAAAACACATTTTTCAGTATGTGAATATATCATGAGTTTATCTTTGATTTAATTACTTCTCGCAGACACCTCCGACCGGACACATTTAATATGCGTTAGTCTTTTATCTTACATTAATTTGTCTAGCAATTATTCAAATGACTGCGTGAATAATTATACGCAGCACTCGCTCAGTTTACCATGATAAATAGTCTATCCGCGATAATTATTATCTTAGTTTGATTAACCGCTGATTATTCAATTACGGGAAAAATATTTCGTTACGCTCAATTGAGCCCTCATGCAGGTATAATAAAACAGCCGTTAAGTGACAGCCTGTTGATATAATTACAAACTGACACATATCAAGTTACAATTAAATACGAAGTATGTGAGTTTTATTGATATCAATGATGTCTTAATTGAAAATTAAAAAAATGAATATTATAGAAATAATTGTACAGCTGTCATATTTAACTCATCGCTTGGCACAGTAGCTGAATATTTCTTGGATCTTTGAATTATTTGCATTATCCGTCATGTTGAGGCCCAACGAGAAGAGGACACAGCAGTTGTCCTCGAATAATTTCGGTATCATAAATAACAATTTCGCGGATTTCCGGGTGGACCCCCGTCCTCCAAAAGAAACCGCAGAGACCCGGTAGGAAAGATGATTGGCGACCGGGAGGGAGAAACGAGTTTATCCGGGTGAAGCCCCCCTCCCCGCGCCTCAACCCCCCGCTGTCGAACGCGCGATGGGAATAAAATGTGAAACTGTAAATTGTGCGTGGAAAGAATCGGTCCCTGGGCGGTCGTGGCGGTCGACCATGCTTTTCGTGGAGTAGCCGGGGGTGGAATGGCGAATGGGGGTGGAAGGAAGGACTGGACGGATGGCGGGAAGCAGCATGAGAAAGGATCGGTTCTCGCTCGAGCAAGGCGAGGATCTTCGAGGATTTAAATGCGCGTTCGGGCGAACGAGACGGAGGAGGGTGTATCTCTCGTAGATTCGGGGATTGGAAATTTGTTAGGTTACGTCGGACTATCACTCCCTAGTGAATATGAAAAAGGAATTCCTCACGAAGCTTTCAAGGGTCGACCACGGTTGGAGGCGGTATGTCGGTGTTGCCGACACCCCTTGCCCCCGTGAGAGAGCGGCCGGTACGTGGGGGGGGAGGGGTGAGGTGATGGTTGTACCGAGGAGAAACTGGTGGCCGGAGGGGTAGGAGGGATGTAACACGGTGCCAGGAATATAAAGCGGGGGATAAAGGAGATGGCGGTCACATATGCGACTCGTAAAAGCTCTTCTGAAAAGCTGCATCCGTTCTGCCACCGTCCTGCCCCCTTTTTCCTCTTTTTTCACGGCGGAAGAAGAACCCAGCCTCCTCCATTCTGACGTGGCTTTCGTGCTTTCAACGTCGCGGTTGACCACAAAAATTTGGCTCTGGGATATGATTTAACGTGAGAAGGCGTGAGAAATATTAATTTGGTAGATTGCTGTAGCCTTTATCGTAAAACTTATTTTATTTTCATGTTTTACGTTTGCCAATGATATATATATATATATATATATATATATAAAGCAATAATTGAGAGAAATAATTGGTATTATTTCATGTTTCTTATAAAAGAAGAGGTATAATGTTTTTATATCTCAAGACATTGTATTCCTTTTTTTTACGTTAAAAGTAATATTGACTGGCATAGTTCCAAGACATTAAGTTAAAAAAGAGCAGATTAGTGTCTCATGCGGCATGTCGCATGCCAACAAAGCGTGACCGCTTGCATAGCCACAGGTCAGTCCCTGAGAGCATGGCGACATTGCGTTTCTATGGGAACGTGGCTTACTCCGTGGTTATCTCTCGATACCGGCGAATATTAAGAAATGCCGTTCTCGAGCGGCATTTCCGTACATTTCGCGGACGGAAAATGAGCCATTCGTTTGCCGATCGGAATGAGGTACTGTCTATGCATGGCACGGACGCGCCACCATCCAACCGTCCCATAAATAATCGTCCTTCTCTTTTAACCTAAACCTCTTTGCTCTCTTTTCGGTCTCAACCCTCCTTTTTCCTTTCATCGCCCTCTCGCTTACTTTCCCTCCCTGTCTCGATGCGTGTGTATTCGAGGATATCGTACGAGCTTCCTAGGATAAGAAAGATACATAACCAGAATATGGCAATGCAAGGAACATAATGGGAACAGTTATGGGAATGCGTATAATTGTATAAGAGAGATTATGAAAGGAATTTATTATGAAAATTATTTTTATTTATTATTACATCTTTTCTATTATGCAGTTTTTATTCTTTGAAACTTATGCAAACGACTTATATTTCGAGGTCGTAATTTATAAAATGAAACTAACGCTTTCGCCATTTAACATAAAAGAAAGTAAGGAAGTTGCATTAGATGATTATCAATATGTCTTATTAAAAAATTGGCGAACGTTAAACAAGTAAAATCCTTCCCTTTTGAAACCTTTAAGAAAATTTTACATGTGTTTGCTGCGATAAAAAGAAGACGTCTGTTTTACGACGTTTACTTCAAATAAACATCGCTCCCTTTCTTTTGCGCCATTCTTTTAACTTCCCAGACATAAATGGCGAGTTACAAAAAACACCTCGTTTTGAATGCGACTGCTTTTTGCGGTAGTACTGGCCAACGCTTCCAGACAATTCTTGGCGGGTTTGTCGATCGTTTAATCGTCCATTTCCACCTGTCAGCCCGAGTCGATGGAAGCACAAAGGCGATCTCTATCCTGGAGGAGAAACTCTCGCAAGAAAGCGAAGCAACATTCGGCTAGGAGGGTTGCGGGAATGGGCAGTGAGGGAAAAGGATGTGCGGGCAGGGCAAGAAGAAGTCTGACATTCGAGGAGTCGACAAAGATTATGAAGCGCATACTGCGGCGAATAAAAATGGTTTCCGCGGCAGGGGAGAAGCGGAAAACAGAGACATTGTTCGCCGCGGAGAGTTTCTGGAGGATGCTCCATGAGAGAATGTGCGAGAGAGAGAGAGAGAGAGCATAGTTTGGACTAACGATAAATGTTCTGGCGTTTAGCGCATAGCGTATAATCTTATACGTGATGTTTAGCCTTAATTTATTTTCGTTATGCAGTAAATTAAGAATCTTATTATTGCACGGAGAGAATTTTTTTTTAAATTTACCCTGCAAATCATGTTAATTGTGGGACAATATAATATTTAGGACAAGTTTATTGTGCACTACAATAAATTTGACAGTAGTAGAATACAGTAAAATTTATTGTAGTGCACAGTAAAATTTGCCTAAATACTATATTGTCCCACAATTAACATGATTTGCAGGGTAAATTAAAAAAAAAATTCTCTCCGTGTGTTAATTCTACTTGAATATGAGGAAAGTATAAAAAGACAAGGATTACAATGAAGCTACTATGGAAATTGCAGCAACACATCTTAAAATTTAATCATCTTACGTAAAAATATGTTGAAATCATGATTAATTTTCATAATCAGAGATTTTTACTTCGTAATCATTTTCCAGCGAATAGACATTGCATGACGACTGTTAAATTGTTATATCTTTCGTTATATATCTTTCTGGCATCGGCGCGCATTATGCATTGTGTGTTACAAAATCAATTGTAATTGCAATCCAGCCCCGTGAATAGCGCGAATAGATCGGTGATGTGTGAGAAAAAAAAACAATTGCGAAATGCAAATGACATGCAAAATTCAGGCAGATTGTGGAAAGCAGATAACAGATCCTGCTTCTGAGCGATGCTCGTGAAGTGGAAAGCTTAAAATAATTAATCGTACTTAACGGTAGTGACTCGACGAGATTTAAGCTAGTAAAACGCGTTCCGCTTCCTATACGCGCCAGCGCGTCGGATTATGGCAAAAATAAATAATATTTTTTATGGTGCAGGAAATTGCCATCCCACTCTATAATAAGTAGGCATCAAAGACGATGATTGTTAAT